GGCTTTCGCCTTGGCCCCGGCGCCGCGACCACGGGCCTTCGGCTTGGCCTTGGCCTGGGCCTTGGCCGCCGCCGGGGGCGGACCAACCGCTGCCGGCGCCGCCGCGTCTCCCGCCGGCTGCGCCGCCGCTCCCGAGGGGGGGGCGCCTTTGCACTTCGCCTCATGCGTGGAGCATTGCTTACTCAGCGTGCCAGTCGGCGCTGGCGGGAACACGTGGCCACACTTCCCACAGGTGCGGTTGGCGAGTTCGCTCCCCCGGCACTGGCGCTCATGGCCGGCGCGGGCGCTGCTGCTGTCGTACTTCTTGATGAGGACTCCACACTTACGACACTTGTCATACCCGTCGGGAATAACTGCACCTGTGGCTGTGCACCGACGCACATGGCCTTGGAAGTCCTCTATGAGTACACGAGCACCACACCCACGGCAGATATCTACCTCGTTCCACTCCAAATCGCGGACAGGAGGGGGCGGAGCAGTAAGGCGCTGAGACATATTCGACACAAGACCTTCACGCCCACGGTTCGCGGCCCTGTCGGCGAGCTCATTGTCGTGCTCGCCCGTGTGTCCGTAAACATGCTCCCACGTAATGCGCCTCCTCCCAGATACCTGCCGCGTGAGTTCCTGCACAGCTTCGGCCAGCTCCCCGTTGGACTGGGCCCCCCAAATACCACGCGCGATGTTCGCGGCGTACTGTGAATCGTACCGAATATGCACAGGGGTGTCGCCTCCGTCTGGCGCTTCTTCTAGAGGCCAGTGCATGGTCTCACCTATTGCTGATAGCTCGGCCGCGTTGTTGGTACGCGAGCGCGCGCCTATCCAGCGGTGGTCCCACGCCTGCGTGACGACCGGTGCGTGAAGCACCACATCAGGTACCCCTGTTCATGCTGTTCGGGCCGTCACATCTAAAAATGACTGCGCCCCAACCAGCTCCCCCCTCAGCCCCGGAGCCATCAGTCGCTATCCACCAGCCATCCGGCGGCGCCCGGCGCGGGCCGCACTGCACCTCCATCCACCTCCCCTCCGTGGTCTGCAGGGCCCGCTGGAATTCCAGACGCGCCACGCAATGGGGTCTGTGGCACTGGAGCCGAGTACCCAGGTATTGCTTACAGTCGGGGCAAAAGTGCGCCCAACTGGTCACCAAGCTCGGGTCCCGGATGGCGCGATGCTCATCATAATGAAAGCGAAGCTGGTTGCCCGCGCGGAAGCTCCGTCCGCAACCCGGGACAGGGCACGCGCACCTTCCATCGGCCCCTCCCGCTGCAGCAGCGCCACCCCCCCCCTTCCTGAAGAGGGGGAGGGGGAGGAACAGGGGGAGGGGGAGGGGGAGGAGGAGGAGGGACCGGTGGAACGCCCAAAATGGGCCCCGAGGCCCCCTCCTGACCGTTGCCGGGCAACGGAGCTCCAGGGCGCCATCGGTTCACGAGGGCCCTGTATTCCGGCGCGATCTCGAGGGCAGGGAAAGCCTTGTCTACTGCGCGCCTCCAAGCCTGCCGGCTGGTGGCCCTTCGAAACCAGTCGTGCCCGTGAATGCGCATGCGCTGTACCCCGCGGTTCAGCCAGAGGTACTGCCACGAACAACGGTTGTGTTCATCACACCCTCTGCCGGCGATCCAGCCGAATAAAACTTGTTTGGGGAGACGGTGCACGGGCACACGGGCTACGCGCCCGAGCCACTGCATGGCCAGACGAGCAATCTGATCTTCAATCGTCCTCCAACGGGCGGCCCGGTACAGCGCAGCGTCAGTGATCGAGTGCGCTTCCATGGCCCACACATCCACCCCGAAAGCTCCCCGGACCCCATAATTGGCGACTCGTTGGAGCCGAAGGATGTCAGCTGTGCTCCAGGATCGGGACCGACACCCCGAGAGCGGGGATGATATGGCACACTGCTGCACCACCGCCAGCCGCGTGGTGATATTAACCCCGCTCGTCCAGCCACGGCCATGGGTCGTGCCCTGTGACCACCCTCTGGCGATCGTCCGAATAAGTCCCTTGGTGGCGTGGACACGGCGGGCGGCGCCCGCTGTCTGACGACCGTCTTCATGATGAATACCACCTATATGTTTCAGATGTGGCACTTCGCACTGTCTGCGCGCGTCACATGGGGACCGGGGGCGGCCGCTGATGACCAGGCGCTCTGTCTTCCCGGCGTTTACTCTTTCCTCCCAATCCGCCATCGTCGCCACCAGCAATGGTTCCGATGTCCGCATCTCAGAAGCCTGGCCAGCAATCATGGCGTCGTCGGCAAAGCCAACGCCACCCAATACCATAGTGCGCTGGGAACTAGATTTCCCTTTTTTCAGTGATCTCTTGATTTCTCTTGCGGGCCTTTTTCTGCAGATGCCCATCTATCTCATAATCCCATGGCACCCCGGGGGTTAATCCTGCTGCCTCTGCCGCCCGCTTGCGACGCCCCCGGTGGTCGTTGAGCACAGCGTCATGGAACACATTGAATAAAGGCGGGCTCGAGGGGCACCCTTCTCGGAGGCCCCGTTTTGGATACCACTCCTCGGACACGCCCCCAAAAATCCTCACCTTGTATCCTGCGCGTTCGCGCAGGGCTTTACATACGCGGAGCATGCCCGGCGGACAGCCGCGAAGCTCGAGCAAGCGCCATAGAGCGGGCCGGCAGACCCGGGGGTACGCCTTCTCTATATCCAGAAAAGACAGCACGATTGGATCGTCGCGGATCATTGCTGACGCTTCTTCTATCAGCCTCCGGGTAACCTGCAGAGCGTCGTCGGCCCCGCGCCCTCTGCGAAAGCCCGATTGCTCTTCGCACACAAACTCTTCGGACCACTGCGACACCCTCGATGCTACGACTCGCGCTAGTAATTTGGAGCCAACCGAAAGAAGCGCGATGCCGCGCCAGGTGTTTTTGTCCGCCCGGTTGCCCGTTTTCTTCCAGAGCGGCACAACGATCCCCGAGCGCCATTCATCTGGCCAACCTGCAGCATCCTCCCCTTCCTCCCCCTCTGTTGCCAGTGTCCACATTTGTTTCACTAGAGCGAACACTCCCTGCCGAATCGCATCTCCGCCGAAGCGGAGGGCTTCGGCGACGAAACCGCCCCTCTCGGGTTGCTTCCCTGTCTTCATTTTGGCTACGCAACGATCGAGCTCCAGGTCCGCGGGCACCGCGCCCAGCCAAAGGGCCCGCATGGGCGAGCGCGACACCGACTCCCACACTTTATCGGCCACGCGGCCGACATCGCCCGACATCCTTTCAAAGTGTCGTCGCCACGACGCCCGTTCCTTGTCCGCGTCCGCTACGCTGGCGCGCCCCGGGGGGCGTTTGCGCCTGCCTGAGCGGAGCTCGTTGAACAGCTTGCATAAGGAAGCTTGGTCCCCGCGGTGGGCGGCCTCGGACGCCCGCCGCCCGATATCTTCCCAGTCGGTGCGCCCCCAGTCCCGGAGCGCGCGGCGACGGGCCTCGGCGGCTTCTCGTTTTGCCTGCAGTGCGGCGGCGGCCGCGGCGTCGTCTGACAGGGCCCACAAGGCGCGCGCCTCTTCAACTTTGGCGTCCAACGCCTTTTTCTCCATTTCATGGCCGCGGAGCCACGGAATTTGACGCCGGTCTGGCCGGGCCCCGAGCACCTCCACCCCCGCTTCTTGAGTCACGGCGCATATCTTCCGCCACGTCGGTGGGCCGTCACTGCCGCCCCCCAACAACTCCGTGGCCTGGCCGCGCAGCGCTCCCGAAGGTGCTTCGCGGAGGAGCTGGAGCCGACCATGCTCGGATAGTTCGGATTATTACACGCCACACACACCTCGCCCCTTCCTCTCCCCCCCCCTTGCTACTACCTGACTCCCTCCCTTCCTCCATTCTACCGTGAGTCGCCCACTCAGAGCTACACCCACTTTGCCTCTGATGACAACTGTCCAAACTACTCCGTCCTGCTCAAACTCTCTCACTCCATTTTCAGGGAAACTGAGATCCGACAGCAAGCAGAAGCCCCAATGTCTCACCTTCATGAGGGCGAACAAGCATTCGGTTTTCAAAGGTTGCTCTGCTCCGCCGATGGCCCCCCATCTCCTAGTGTTCCAAGTGCCACCCCGTAGGTGGCGACTTTCACCGTGGCTCTTTCCCCGGCGCCTGTGGGAGGCCCAGCGGAGAAGGGACAATCTGCGCATTGCCATCGAGCGCTTCTGATTGCGCTTGCATTTCCGCTCTGCCTTCCCGCGCGCTCTCCTGCGAGCGCATCGCACACGGTTCCTGTGTACACCTGCTTCCGACTGCAAAGGGTCCGAAATGGGCTCTACGCCTAAAGACACAGGTAAAGATGCGTCACCTGATGCCGGGTCGCCTGGGCCAGGGGCAGCCACGGCCTGCCCCCCGGACGGAGCCGAGAGGGAAAGGGCCGGAGCCCCAACCGCCCTCTCGGGCGTTGGATCCGGGGGGGTTCGAGCATTCCCGCCCCCGAGCCAGACCGAAGAGGACCGAGAGGGAGGGCTCCGAGGAAACCGATCCGCCGACCCGTGCCTAGAGGCCTCGAGCCCGTCCTCCATCCGACTCCCGCAGGGGGCGCCCTCCGGAGGAGGGCACGGGTTAGCCGTGCCAACGGGCTCCACACCCACGACACACGCGCACAGGATTACAACCAGGAGGAGCCAGTTTGGCCCGCTGCCCCTGCCGCGGCCGTTCTGCCTGTTCACCTGGGGGGGGAGGGCGAGGAGGAGGAGGAGGAGGAGGCCGACGACGTAGCAGGACATCTCGGAGGCCTACGCTCGAGCAGCAGTCACTGGGTTTCCTCGTCCTCGCCCTCGATCTCGGGGCTGACGGCCGCGAACGCCCCCCGGGCCGGAAGTGGAAGTCGACGGAGAAGAACGATACCCAACGCGAAAAGAAACCTCCGAGGCGGTGTCCAGGACCTCAGAACGCGACACGGAGGAATGAAAATCCCCAGGGGCGTGGAAGAGGCGGAGCCACTGGCCCGAACGAAACCCCAGACAGCGCAGACGACCCCGACACCCATTCCCAGAAGCACAGCACGACAACCACTGTCTAGGGTGATGATTGTTGATCCGCTTCCGCCACCCCCAACGACCAGGCCCGCCCGCCGCCCCCACCCCCTCTGCGTTCCAGGATCATCCCCCGCCGCGCGGGGGCTGGGGGGGGCAGGCAGCCGGAGGGATCCGGTGCTGGGCGCACACAAAGGGTTTGCCCCCCCCAGGATGGTCCTTCGGAGAGGCCATCATTGTCGCTTGGGCCCTCGGCCCGACAGCGCGGCAAAACGAACGCCCGAAACGGACTGTCCGCAACGCTGGAACCAGATAGGGGGAGCCGCGGGACGAGCACAGGCCGTGACACCGTTGTACCCCGTTGTACCCCAACTAAAGCACAATACGTTGTAGGATACACACTTCACGATGTTCGCGTGCCCCTGCACAGGGGCCAATCTTATCTCACACGCAAGCACCAAACCAGACTCACGCACCCCACTACGTTTAGCATCGCTCTGAAGCATAACACCACATCCTACGTTGGGTGCTTAGTTGCTGGTTTTCCAACGCGCGCGTCTACGTCGGCACCTGATTCTCCTAACCACCACAACCGACTACGTAGGGTCCAATATTGGCACCACATCAGTAAGAGCCAACAAAATGTGACACCAAATGCCGGGTCGCCTGGACCAGGGGCAGCCCCAGCCTGCCCCCCGGGTGGGGCCGAGAGGGAAACAGCCGGAGCCCCAACCGCCCTCTCCGAGACGGGATCCGGGGAGGTTTGAGCAGTCCCGCCCACAATCCACATTCGATGACTGGGAGAGGGAACTACCAGACTATCGCACCATCCGCAAGAACCCGAGCAGAACGGCGCAAGTTCCCTCCCCCCAAGAAGACCCACGAGGGGGCGCCCTCCCAGAGGAGGGCGTGGGTTAGCCGTACCCCTAGGGGGGGCACGTTGCCCCTGACGCGGCCGCTCAGCAGAGCGGGGGCCGCGCCAGGCCGTGGCCAGGCGAAGGGCGCGACCCCATGCATCCGCAAGCGGACACACGGGGTTGCACCTTTCACACTGCCCGCAGCGAGGGGCGGCCCCCAGGGGGAACAGATCGACTTCGACTCATGATTGTGAAAACCCTGGCACGCACCTGGCCCACCACCAAACCACCAAGGCGCCACACCACAGACACGCACACACACACACACACACACACACACACACACACACACACACACACACACACACACACGCACACACACACACACCACCACCACCACCACCACCACCACCACCACCACCTCGTCCCATGACCCTCCGCCCGCAATCGGGCACCGGGTCCGGACGCGGTGTTTAGCTTGTGCTTGAAGCGGCCAAGCGCACGCTTCAAGGAATCAGGCCAGCCCACGCCGACAGACGAGCCCTGTACCGAGCTGGCCACGGACGACAGGGACCGGTCGCCGGCGCTGGTCACGGAGCGCGCCCTCAGAGAGCCCGCCAAGACGTCGCTCTCGGAGAACTTGAGAAACGGGGACGCCCCACCCGGCATGGCGCTGAGCGCGGCGGCCCCGAATCCAGTGAACGCCCCAGCCGTCGCGTAGACGTCCAGCATGACGGCGCGCAGGTTCTCACTGGTGGGCGACTTGTTACACGAGTCCTCCGCCGGGAGCCGCGGATCGGACGCCGCGCTGACGAAGCGCTTGAGCATCGCAAATGGAGTGCCGTCCGTTCGAACGTACTCGAACGATCGGCGCAGCCAGGCGAGCTGGGGGTGCTCCGGGGATGAAGTCATCAACGTAAAGTTCCCCGCGTCCGAAAAATACGGTCGGTTCGAGGTGTTGGACGCTTTGGCATAGTAGCCCTCAGCCCTCAGCGCGGAGTCCCAAGGAGACGGGGGCGCCTGCGTGAACAGGCCCTCACGGTTCACGACGTCGAAGAGGGCCACAAAGGCCTCCTTGCCTTTGGTCTGAAGCTGCGGACGCCCGGGCCACTTGATGGCGATGAACATGGAGGCCGGCGAGATCGCGGTAGCCGCAGCATCTCTTGGGCGGCGGATCGCCGCCCAAGAGGCGCCATGGACCTTCTCATTGGACGAGAAGAGATTGGCAATCAGCTGCCTCGACCCCCGGTCAAAGCGCGCCGACATGGCCTGACCAAAACCTTCAAACATATCAGTAATATATGTGCTTTCATATGGTTCTCTCCAGAAAGCAGCCCCTTTACAATGCTTTCCAAAACGAGATTTCTTTGTAAGGCTGCCACGCTCCTGCAGGAGGAGGAGGAGGATAGGGGAGGAGGAAAAGGGGATGGGAGAGAGAGAGTGAGAGAGAGATAGAAGGTGACGACGGATAAGAAGTGATCGAGGATGATGAGGGAAATGTATGATCTCGGGGGGGCGACCACATACAGATGTATATGTATGACTATATGTGTATTGAGGTATATGCATTGCGTAGAGATATAATACATACACATATATATATACATATACATATATATATATACAAATACATATATGAATACAAACAAACAAACATGCATTCATGCATGCATGTACACATACAAACACATACAGACATCAATACACACATGCGTATATACATTCATACATACAACTATACATTCATAGATACATACAGACATACATATATATGTATATAAACATACACACATACGTACATACCTATATACATAAATGTATGCAAGTAGACATGCATACATGTATACATACATACCTACATGCATGCATACATGCGGACATACGTGCATGCATACATGCATGCACAACCCGCACACACATACATCACAACTCAATACAATACATTACATTACGTTACATTACACTACATTAAATTACATTACATTACATTACATGCATACGTGCAAACATGCGTAAATACATGCATGCATGCGTGTCTGCACACAAGCATACATACAAATATACATACAAACACACATACCTACATACATGCATGCATACAGACAGATATGCATGTCATTGCATCGCATTGCAATACATTACACCACGATACAATACATTACATCATAATACACTATACCACGGTACAATACATTATATTACATTGAATTACCTCACATTACATTGCATTACATTACACTGCTCTCATACATGCATGACTGCGTACATGTATACATTTGCATGCATGCATACATGCAGGAATACCTGCATACATGCATACATGCAAGCATACGTCCATACATACATACATGCATGCATGCATGCATGCATACATGCATGCAAGCGTACATAAAAAAAACATACATACAGACATACATGCATGCATACATACGTACATGCATGCACGCACGCACACCTTCATACACATATATGCATGCATGCATGCATGCATACATACAAATATACATACATGCATACAAACGAACAAACAACCAAACGTAAGCACGTGCATGCATACATACATTAATGCATGCATACATACATGCATGCAGGTAGATATACGCACCAACATACAAATAGGCATGCATGCATACATGTACATGCAAACATGCACGTACCCACATGGGAACACATAGCTACACACATAACTACAGACTGGCAGCACTGCAGGAGTGCATACATGTGCACACGTGTGTGCACACACAGACTTTCAGTTGCACGCATACATGCATCATTGGTTCGCCCCACATGGCCGCAGAGGGCCCCGAGATGCCTCAATAACCCCTCCAAAACCTCGATCTTTTTCCTCCTCCTCCTCCTCCTCCTCCTCCTCCTCCTCCTCCTCCTCCTCCTCCTCCTCCCCCGAGATGCCTCGAGGACCCCGTCTCGAGGACGAAGGCCCCAAGACGGCCTCACCAGCTCCAAAAACTGCCCTTCGCGGCGTGCCGTGCCGTCGCGCAGCGCTCTGTGCCGTGCTGACCCGCGTGCGCAGCGGTGCAAAGTGTTCAATGAGGCCCTGGCGGTACAGTAGGAGATCGACCACAGGAGGAGGAGGAGGAGGAGGAGGAGGAGAAGCGAAGAGGAGGAGGAGGATGACGAGGAGGAGGAGGAGGAGGAGGAGGCGTGGCAGAGCGGCGATGCGTCGCCCTGCAACTGATGTGCCTTGAGATATAGTAGGAGTGGGAACTCGACCACAAGAAACCGTCCACAAGAAACCCAACCCTGAGACCCCAGGACGTCCATCGATTTGTGGCGTGGGGACGTCACGCTTTCCACAGCAAGAAACCATCGAAACCCCGGAAACCCAGGGTACCCAAGCAGGGTGTTTCTTGGCATGGGTCACCACCGCACCAAAACGTGATCTGGGGGGCCGGACGTGCTGCCCACTTTCGGGGGACCTTGAACGGAAGCAGTGCGCCGCAGGGGCGGCCGTCGAATCCCCCTGGGCGAACGACCGCGGCAGCTCCTCCGAGCAACAACCCCGAGCGATGCTCGAAAGGCAGGCGCTCCACCCACCCCGCCGGGGCGAGAACGGAGCCGGAGAAGACCAGCTCACCCCGTGCAGCGCCACGGTGCCGTGCCGTGTCGTGGTGCCCGCGCCGTGCCGATCCACGCGGGCAGCGTGCGTTGCTGGTGAAGGTCTCTTGGAATTTTCGCCTGAGGGTGCCGTGCCGTTCCGTGCCATGGTGACTTATGTTGCATCCTCGGGGGACCTTGTCTGTCCCGTCGCGGCCGTCCGCGTCGAATCCGTGTCGAATCCATGTCGGACGCGTCGGATCCGTGTCGAATCCGTGTCGAATCCGCGTCGAATCCACGCCAAATCCGCGTCGAGTCCGCATCGAGCACGCGTCGGGCCCCCAAAAAGACACCCATTTTTGGGACAGGCGAGGTCCCCCGAAGATGCAACAGAAGGTGACGTGCCGCCTCGTTGAGTCGCGCCGTGCTGAGCCATAGCGCGCGTCCCAGCTTGCTGCTGAAGGTCTGTCGGTGGGACGGAATTCGTAGTTGAGAGCGCGGTCGTTCTGACATGACGACGGCCACTATGGCGACCAGAACGAGATGTGCGAGCGGTGATCGACAAGCGTCGGGAATGAGGATCCGAAATAGCCGACCACGGCGCTCACCGCAACGTCACAGTCCTCAAGACTGCTACTACTGCTGCGGCTGCTGCTGCGTCTGAGGTGGCGCCAGGCACACTGGCTGCAAGCCGGATTTGATATCAGATCAACGAAGAGATACTTCGAGGAGCAAGAGAGGCAAAGGAGACAAAGGGGATGCAGGAGGCGAAGGGGGAGAGATGAGGACGCCGTGACTGGGCATATGAAGCAGCAATGCTGAGAAGCTGACGCGCACCGAAAATACTTCTACAGCCAAATTTGGGCCAGTGAAAAAATGGATGGAGGTATACACGTCAACTTCGCGACCATGTCGAGTGCACATCGTCCTCACTATTCGCACTCGCAACTCAACTCGTTCGGACTCGCGCGACATTACACCTTCCACCAGTTACTCTATACTGTCGTAAATAAACCCTTCGCTTCGTCGTGCTCGGACTGCCTAATAGCTGTTCCACCGATGTTTCACAGGAGTCGCTCGCCGACTCTCAGCCGAATCAAACCGCCGAATCAGGACACCCCAGACCACCTCAGAATATCCACCACAGGAGGAGGAGGAAGAGGAAGAGGAAGAGGAAGAGGGGGAGGAGGCGGAGGAGGAGGAGGATACCCACCCCTGAGCCAGACATTCTCCAAGGGCGCCTAACCTCGCGCTTCGCGCCGCGCGAAGCGCGAAGCGCGAACAACTTCGCGCTCTCGCGCCGCCTCCCAGGGGAGAGGAGGAGGAGGAGGAGGAGGAGGAATCGGAGCCGAACCGCGAAGCGCGAAGCGCGAACAACTTCGCGCCCTCGAGGCGGAGGAGGCGGAGAACACCCGCCCCTGAGCCAGACATGCTCGGACCACCACGGCCCGCTCACTCCACCGAGACGGCTCCGCAGATCTGCGGCAGTGCCCCGCCGTCGTGCGTCCCCTCGGGTTGTTCCGGCAGCGGCGCTCCAAGTGTGGGTGCCGAGCGGTGATGCCACCAGCACGGTGCCCAACCGCTGTGCCTGGTCGTGGTGTCCAAGAAGAGGCGCCCAGATCGAAGGGGGCGATCGCAGCGCTCCATCAAAGCGTGCGCGACAGCTGCATCGGTTGGCCAGTCGTGATGCCCAACCGTGGTGCCCAATCGCGGTGTCTGGACGCACCGAAAACTCGTCGTGTCCTACAGCGTGCCCTAGTCGTAGCGACAAATACTGGCACAAGCTCTACCTCGAGCATTCATTCCAGCGCAGCTTGCACTGTAGAGGCCAATCCTGGTGTCCAGTTGTGGTGACCAATCGTGGTGTACAACAAGTACCCATGTCAAAACTGCGGTATCCAGTATGCAGTCGGGGTGTCCATGACACTGGCATGAGCCTGGCTTCTAGCTTTCGGCTAAGCTCGGCGCATGCTCAGCTGAAACTGGCGAGGCCGAGAGCGGGGGCGAGGGCGCGAGCGCATGGGGGGGGGGGCGGAGGGCAAGGGCGAGGCCGAGGCTGAGGCCGAAGATGAGAGCCAGGTCAATCGTGAGGACGAGGCACGGGCGAGGGTGAGGGAAGGCGCTCGTTTCGAGCAGGGGTGCAGGGAAAGCAGCCGTGGCCCCCCCTGGAGCGGTGGGGAAGCAGCGTGGCCGGAGGCCCCTGCGGCAAGCGCAGATTCGTGATTCGCGAGAGTCGCTGCCCAACCTGCGAGTGGCACCGCGACCCCGTGCGAGCGACGCCGCACCCCGCCCCAGCAGCCGAGAGAGCGCGAGCGACACCGCCACCCAGCAGTCACAGAGAATGATGACGACAGGATCACGGGGGGGCCGCAGAAATGAAAGATCCGGAGCCGATGCCATCCGCCCTCAGCCCCGCGCTCCGACGCTGCGACGAACATTTTTGGAGCCCCGAAACGGTGCGGTGACGCACCGTGCGGTGACCTCGAGATCCCCCAAGACCTCACCGCACGGTCCGTCACCGCACGGGCATTGGGACCCCGGAGGCCCCTGTCGCCCGAGGCGTCCCCGGAGAACGGCCCGAGCCCCCAAAGCCGCGCGGTGACCCCGAACCCCCACTGGCCCACCGCACGGTGTGGTCACCGCACCGCTTGGGGGCCCCCGAAACATACAGCACCGCGAGAGAACTCACCCCCGGAGGCCCCGGGCCCGATCTTCCGGCGCTGGGACGCACATGGACATACTAGTACTATATGCCCTCCTTGGAGGCGCGCGTCCGACCCGAACACATAGTATACCCATCTTGTAGCATATCGTTTCCCGAGCGGTGTGGCCAGAAAGCGCCCGCCACGACGCATATACTATAAGATTTCTCGGTGCGCGCGTCGCCCCTGGGGGGGGGCGACGCACATATAGTATAAGTATGTTGGGGTGTTGCCGATGCGCCGTCCCTCGAGGCGGGTCGACCTGCGCGGGTCCCGGACGGGGGCCCGACGCCGGACGCCCCGGAGGTGGAGAAAGGAGAGGCAGCGCCCGGGCCCGGACAGCCGGCGAGCGGAAGAGAAGCCACGGAGTCGAGTCGGGCACGGCCCTCTGCAGGAGGAGTGCTCAGGAGTGGTCCAGGAACAGTCTGGGGACGTTTTCTGTCGAGCACGTTTTGGAGCCCATGTTCGAACATGTGTTGGCGATCTTTTTATCCCTCGTCAAAAACCCCCCTGCAGGAGGGCACGCCCAACTCAACAACAGAGAGAGAAGCGACCGTCCTGCCAGTAGCCACGGACCACGGAGGGGTCGTGCGGGAACAGCGCCGAGTCGTCGAAGGCCCACCCGCGGCCGTCCGCCAGCCTGCCCCCCAACACCGCCCGCCCGAGCGTGTGGCCTCTGCGAGACCCTGCTGGCGGTCCGAGCGCCTGCGCTGCCCAGGGCGGACTGACACGGCAACGGGCGCGGCTGCGCAGACAAGCGCGCTCCACGACTCGCAGAGTAGATACAGTCGACCCGCATCCTCCTCCTCCTCCTCCTCCTGCTCCTCCTCCTCCTCCTCCTCCTCCTCCTCCTCCTCCTCCCTCCTCCTCCTCCTCCTCATCCTCCCCTCCTCCTCCTCCTCGCTCTCCTCCTCCTCCTCCTCCTCCTCCTCCTCCTCCTCCTCCTGACTCCTCCTCTCTTCCTCTCCTCCTTTTCCCCTCCTCCTCCTTGCCCCCCGCGTCCCTCCTCCTCCCACTCCTCCTCCTCCTCCTCCTCCTCTACTACTACTACTATACTACTACTGACTACTACTACTACGACTACTACTACTACTAATACTACTACTACTACTACTACTACTACTACTACTACTACTACTACTACTACTATACTACTACTCCTACGGCTACTAACTACTACTACTACTACTATTACTACTACTACTTCGACTGCTACTGCTACTGCTACTGCTGCCTGCTACTACTACTACTACTACTACTACTACTACTACTACTACTACTACTATCTACTACTACTACTACTACGACTACGACTACGACTACTACTACTACTACTACTACTACTACTACTACTAACTACTACTACTACTACTACCTACTTTAAGGTAAAAAAAAAAAAAAAAAACGCTACTCTACTACTACTACTACTACTAATACTACTACTACTACTACTACTAACTACTACTACTACTACTACTACTACTACTACTACTACTACTACTACTACTACTACTACTTCTGACTACTACTACTGACTACTACTACTACTACTACTACTACTACTACTACTACTACTACTACTACTACTACTACTACTACTACTACTACTACTACTACTACGATTACTACTACTACTACTACTACTACTACCACTCCCACTACTACTATATTACTACTACTACTACTACTACTACTACTACTACTACTACTACTACTACTACTACTACTACTACTACTACTACTACTACTACTACTACTACTACTACTACTACTACTACTACTACTACTACTACTACTACTACTACTACTACTACTAGTCTACTACTACTACTACTACTACTACTACTACTACTACTACTACTACTATTACTAGTACTACTACTACTACTACTACTACTACTACTACTACTACTACTACTACTAACTATCTACTACTACTTCTCCTACTCCTCCTCCTCCTCCTCCTCCTCCTCCTCCTCTCCTCCTCCTCCTCTCCTCCATCCTCGTCCTCGTCCTCAGCTCCCTCCTCCTCCTCCTCCTCCTCCGCCTCCTCCTCCTCCTCTCCTCCTCTTCCTCCTCCTCTCCTCCTCCTCCTCCTCCTCCACTCCTCCTCGTCCCTCAGCCTCCTCCTCCTCCTCCTCCTCCTCCTCCTCCTCCTCCTCCTCCTCCTCCTCCTCCTCCTCCTCCTCGTCCTCCTCCTCCTCCTCGCAAGATAAGGACGCACGGTAAGGACGCACGATAAGGACGCAAGGACCCTGGAGGGCCATGTCGAGGCTTCTCCAACGGGTCGCGGCCAGCGCAAGCGGCCAGGATGGGCCGACGGGGCCAGGATGCAAGGGTACCCTTGGGAAGGTTGCCCATCCTTCCCATGCTGGTCGGCTGTACTCGCAGATGGCCTGGATCCGCCGCGGGAGAGTTTCGATCAATTGCACCAAGGGTGACATGTTTTTGCTCGGACGTTTGCGAGCAGGCACTCTGCGAGTCGTGGAACGCGCTCGGCGAATGAGGGCGCTCCCACGTTCCACTGGCGCGACGTGCGGAAGACCGAGGAACGGCGCGGACACAAACTTTCGAAGGTCCGCGCGGGCCTCTTTGGTCGGTGCTGCGCCCACCCTGACCGCGCCCACGGCGCCGCCCCCGGTGCGCTTCGCACGCCAGGGGGGGTCCAGCGCCGACCCGCGAGGTCCGCGCGGACCTCGGGAAGGTTCTGCTCGTGCTGTGCTGCGGCTCACGAGCTGGTGCTGGGAGAGGCGGAGGCCAGCCCTCAGAGCAGCTCCAGCCAGAGTGATACGGCAGGTTCGTGTCGTGCCGACCCCAGCGTTGGTTTTTGACACCGCAGGGATCGTTCAACCTTGAACGATCGGCCGCTGCCGCAACGTCCGATCGTTCAACATCGATCGATTCTGGGTCGCCGGCGGCGTTCAACCTTGAACGCCCGCGTTGGGGTCGCCGCTGGTCGACACGACGCAAACCTACCGTATGGCGCTTCCTGGGGGCGGGGGGCGGGAGACCCCGGGAGCGGAGCGGAGCGCAGTGGAGCGGAGCGGCCGACCATCCGTCCAGCGGGACGACTCCATGGTGAGCCGTGCGCACGGAGAGGCTAGAATGCACGATACAGTGACCCTGCGAAACAGCGAAGCATCACTGGCTACGGGAGGAGATCGAAGCAGCGATTCCTCCGGTAGGGCTGCGCTCCCTGCCTCACCCAATCGACGCCACCTCTTGGTTTCTCCCGCGGCGCAGCCTGCTCATCCCGCCTCAGACGCTCTGCTCCCACCCCTCTGAGATTGTGGGTCCGCGTTTTGAATGAGGCACGAATGGTATCCATCCTTGCTTCCTCCTTCCTCCACAGCCTCTTCCCGTCTCATCCCTGCCTCCCGCCTCTCCCCCCTTCCCTTGTGGCCTCTGTTCCTCCTACTGCTGATCCCTCCTCCTCCTCCTCCTCCGCCTCCTCCTCTTCTGTTTTCTCAATGCCTGTCTACGCTTATCTGTTGTGAACTGCGCCACCGTCTCCACCTGCGCGGGCTCCTGAAACCCCCAGCGGATCGCCGCCATAAACGCATCTAGACGGGACCTCGCGCTCGCTTGGGGGCTTGTAATTGTGCAACTGTCGCTACTCTCGTGAGCTCCCGGGAGGCCCAGCGGAGAGCCGTCACACGAGCACTCAGACGGGACCTCGCGCCCGTCAACAGCCACGCAACCTTACAGCCAGGCCACGCTACAGCATTACAGCGCTGCTCCCTCAATGACGCAGCGTTACGAGCGGTACTCCTGGTTACGCGGTCAGCCGCAGAGAACGGGATCAGTGACATTAGATATTCACCTAAATCGATGGACCGTTGGACGGGCGAGCGAGAAGAGTAGTGGTAGAGATGACCTATATTCCAGGCACGGTGGCAACGTGTGCCAAAGGCCCCTGGATACAAGCTCGAAGCGCTCTCGGTCTTGGCCATTACCCACAATTACGATCAAACCTGGGATTGCATGGACACAACATGTCAAGAGTCTGGACGTGCGCTTTGATTTGTGCTTCATAGCGAGGTGCCAGAACAGGGCGCAGGCCGCATCTGGTCGTGGGAGGCTGAACGCGGCGATGCTCTGAAGCGCTATCTTGGGGGCAGTAGTGGGCAGAGGATGATCTTCTGCCCAACGACAGGAGCGTCCAGTCGAGTGGCCAAACCACAAGGGCGGCAAGCCTGTTTACGACAAGCCCATGGACACATCCCACGGACCCTCCTGATCAGATGTTCGAGTCCTGTCCGGCCGTGGTGACCAGGGGCGACAGAAGCTCACTTGAAAACATCTGACTGAACGGAAGCACCAGGGCCAGAACGAAGACGGTTCAGGGGACAGAAAAAAAGGCTGTCGGAATTGCTCAAGTTCAGAAGCGAGGGCAGGAAGAGTTGGAAGGACCAGAAACCAAATTGGGCTGCAGGGGAAACAGGCTACGAGAACAACAGTGCGGGTGCACAACCCCACTCCGACCTGCGATTACCTGCCGATGCACTCACCTACCAGCAAGGCTGGAGGGCAGCAGGACGCCTGATCAACGTCCCGATCGATACCGCATCCGCCGACCCCCGCTTGCTGGGGGTGAAAAGGCACGTGAAATGTGTGACTGCCACCTCTGCCCCTTTCCCCCGCCCTCCCCAAGGGTCCAAAATCCCGACTCAAGGTGAGGAGGTGGTGGTGGCCAAGAGGGGGGCGTCCAAGAGGGGGGGTGCAAATCATGGCCGGCGGCATGTGCGCGGCCCAATGGGGGGCCAGGGACGTCATGAAAAGAGAAGAGGCGCCATGAAGTCCGGGGAAATATCACGGCCCACGCCATGATATCCGCCCCCCCCCAGTCATCACCCCCCTCTTTGCCGCCCCCGAGGTGGGTGACAGAGGAGGGGGGCGACCGGGCTCCAGAGCCCTCCGTGGGCGCCAAGATGCCCCAGATTTACCAGCCTCGATCGTATCCCCATCCCTACGATTGACACGCCAAAAGGCGATGACAATCTTAGGGATTCGCCCTCAAAAAATAAGGGAATCCCTAAGATTGGCATCGTGATGAGGAGATGCCCAGCATAGGGTTAGGGATCTGTTCCAGGCTGATAACAGATGCTGCCCAGGACGGCGTCGGAGGGGCTCCCGCGCGCCGGAGGGGCCTCGGGAACGCCCACGGCAGCCTCAAGACGGCCGCAGACGCCGACAGAGGGCCCCAATTGGGACCCCAAAGGGCCTCAAGAGGCAAAATCTGATTCCGATGGTTTTAGAGAGATGCGCGTCATCGCCTGTGCGAGCGTCTGCGAATCCAAAACGGCCCGAAAGGGTCGAGGAGGCCTCAAGAGGGCTCAGAGACGGCCCATGAGGGCCCCAAGACGGCCCAAGAGGCCCCCCAACACGTCAAAAGAAAGCCCTCGAGATAGGGGAAGCCCGCAGGGGACCTGGGAGCACCCCCCCACAAGATGGCCACCAAGACCGCCAGCATGCCCAAAGAGGCCCCTAAGAGTCCCCCAATGAGCCTACAAGAACGCCCAAGAAAGCCAACTGGAGCCTCGACAAACCTCTAAGGGGCCGCCCCCATAAGCCTCCAAGAGGTCCCCAAGAGGCACCGTCACAAACGCTCGGGAAAGAAGGGTGAATCAGCAAGAACTGCGCGCAGGCAACACGACGGGAAATGTCAAACAAACCGCGCATTTCCTTTTCTGGGGTGGGCGGAATGGCGTAAGCCTCTTGGATCACATCTTATTCAGACATTTGATCGTGATGCACGCGCGACCCACATGAGCATGGTGGGTGTTCACCCGTCCCTCCGGAGGTAGAAGCGGCCGTCGGCTCCCAGCAGCTCCTTTGCTCGCGGGAATCGCAACTCCACACAAGTAGATTCCATCCTGAAAAAATGGCGCTCTACTTTGCGTGTTGAACGTATTCCTGTTTTGCTGAAAACTTCTGCGCTATGCTGATGATATCAGGCGCAGCAATGTTTGCCGCCACGAGGCGGCGCGACGCTCACTCGGCAGTGATATATCTTACGAGCGGCTTGAGCTTACCAATCTTCGGAGGTCTCCAAGCCACGAGAAAGTCAGATGTGCAATACACATTACGCGTTCGCGATACAGTGTCTTCGGCACGGTGACCCGCGTCTCTAGCTACTCGCGCGCGTACTTCACACAATAACCCCACCAGCACCACTTGCTCCCTGCGCCCGTTTCGGCCCAAACCCAAAGACACTCCAGAAGAACCATCATGTTTCCTAGAAGCCCTGAGGAGCCCCAAAAAGCCCCCAAGTGGCGCCCAAAGAGCCCGTCAGCACGGCTAGGATCGGCAAAACTGTGTTTCTTTAGGCATTGCATTCCTGGGTTCCACTCATAAGATGGCTCAAAGGGAGATTCTGAAAGCCCCAAGAGGGTCCTGCGTGGCCCCGAGAAGTGCGCAAGGCGGCCAAAGAGAGCATAAAACTGGTTTGGAAGCTCCGAAGTCGCCCCCAAGACCCGACCAGACGGCCCAACCGAAGCCCTTCGGTAGATCTCGGTAGATGTCGGCATAACTACGGCGCCCAAGACCCTCGCTCCCACAGCAACAGCCCCTCAGAAAATCGATGTTGGGCACAACGGGAAACACTGCTTTTTGAGCCGCTAGTTGCTTTTGCCCCTGCTTGCTTTCGCTTGCGGCTGCTCACTGATGCATACTGCCGCTTGCTGCTACGCATCGCTGCTCGCTGCTGCGTGATGTTACTCGTTGTCGATCGCACATAGTTTCGCGCCTCTTAGGGGCCTCTCTTGCGGCCTACCGTGCATGTCTTCGTGCGGTCTGTCTTCTGGAAATTGGCGGGCAATAATAATGCTTTACGTACGGTTTCAGAGCTACCTCAAGGCCCTCCTGGAGCGTCTTGGGAACCTCTTGGCGTTTGGACTTGGGGCTGGGGCCTCAGGCTCAGCGCCTGAATTCCCGAGCCTTCGACATTTGGCTCAGGGCAGGCCTGTGACGCCGAAGGCTTCAAGAAGCCTTGCGGCACAAACCGATGGTATAAGCAAAAGTACGTGTACGTGAATGGTTCAGGCGCACCACCCCGCACCGCAAGGGATTGCCTTCAGGTGTTAGCCCTCGCATGAGCAGTTGAGGCGTGGAGGGGAGCAGGTGGTCAATACAAGCGTTCACCACATTAACTTACGCTGACATTGATTATGGGTCTTATGCCATTACTGACTCGGAGAGGTACTCCCACGTAGGTGGAGAACACAATCTTTCGTCTGGGGAACCACCGAAAGGAGCCCGCCAAAATCTACCAGCCTTGAGCGTTCACAGCTTTCCCTTCCCATGCTAAGACATGCAATGGAAGTCCTCGGCCGCAGCGAACGTGGCGTTCTGACACAGCGTCTCTCCCACACGAGGCGCCTGGGGATTGGAAAAAAAGCATGGGCCACTGACGATATAAGCAAAGCAGAGGCGCACTCTGGCGCTCGAGCAAGAGCCCACCACTGCAGCATGGTCTTCTCGCGCGCGGTGTGGGCCAGGCGAGAAAGTCCCAGGAGAGGGAGGGATGGAAGAGCGGACGGACGAGAGACGAGAGAGACGCAGGCTCGAACACGAAAAGCAGAGCGCGCATACTGGACGGACGAGGGCATCTTGTGCACCTGGCCCCGTGGGAGACAGACAAGCGCACCGAGAAAATGGACGAGCCCATGCAGACAGAGCACAATGGATAGATTGGAGGTGCGGGACGGGTTGTTGAGCCGAAAGATGGGAACCCCCATTGTTTCAATTCGAACGCTGCAACAGCTGCCGTAACCTACTCCTCGGGAGACCGCGGGCGACGAATTCGATACTTTAAGATGACTCTACGGTACGTGACGGGGCGCTGCAAGAGACTGCCGACCATAGACGGGATGGGCGGTGACATGCACGCAGCCACAGAATGCTGCCAAAATGGCGGCAACGTTGTCACAAGCGGGGGCAACCCCCACGCTGGATCGATGTCCGCGAAATTTGGGTCTCAGGACTAGAGGGCAGAGTGATGGACAGCGAAGGCTTGAATAGCTTCAAAGGTGAAAGTTGTAGAGAAAATTGGCGTCCTAGTGCTGAAAGAAGTTTGAAAATTCATGGTATAACATTGACAGCTGAAAGTTTGACCAACGCGGAAAGCTTCAAAAAGTCTGAAACATGCAAAGAGAACAAAGATCACGCGGAGAACTGAAGGTGGGAAACGTGTAATCCTGCTCGACTCGTCATAGGGGCAACGGAGGCAGGGCGGAAACACAAATGGGCCTCACCCAATCGTCGCGCTGCAACGCAATGTCAGAGCAGCGGAAATGAATGCTGGTATACTCGACACGTCGCATGGCAACACGGGCGCGGATAAACGAAGAGGAACAACTGGGAGGGGCCGCTGTCAGAGCGGAGAGCGAGCGAGCTGAGCGGGAGACCATGACAGAAAAATGTTGGGGAACAGGCTGGCGCGCGGGCTCTCAAGAGTCTGAAAGAAATCACGAGGGCGAGAGAATTGGCATTCAGGAGGGCCCAAGACTGAACACGTATTAAAGAATGCAGACACACAAACAACAAAAACAATACGAACTATGTTACCCGCACGCTTCCTAACGAAATCAATCACTACGCTGGACGGGGCACAACTCGCTCGAGGACACCATGGTTCCCAGAATGAACAAAGGCAACCCAACTAAAGAATACAGGCAAAAACAAAAATGAACAAAACAGATGACTCGGCATTTGACTTGTCGAACATATCCTGACGCTGGACACGGCGCCGCGTCCTTGAACACAAGATGGCCCCATCACCCTGCTGCCCTTGTTCCTTCCTCCCTGGCGACCAGAGAAATTGTATGTCCGATGTTGCTGCAGCTTTCTGCTTCAAGGCATTGCAGACTTAATTTGTGAATGTGGTCATTGCTGTCCTCCTCCTCCTCCTCCTCCTCCTCCTCCTCCTCCTCCTCCTCCTCCTCCTCCTCCTCCTCCTCCCCTGCTCTCCCCTTGACCACAGAACACCATGTCTGAAAACAACGAGCATTTCTGTTTCAGCACACCGAGAGCTATTGTTGTATGAATGCGCGCCCCCTGAACTCCTCCCTTTCTGCATCTTCTGCCCAGCCCGAGCCTCCTGAAGTATTGCAGCATGACTGCAAGCCTCCAATCCTCCTCCCTTTCCTATTCCTCCTCCTCCTCCTACTCCTCCTCCTCCTCCTCCTCTTCCTGCTCGTTTTCCTCCTCCACTCTCCTCTCCTGTCCTCCTCCCTCCTCCTCCTCGTCCTCCTCCTCCTCCTCCTCCTCGTCCTCCTCCTCCTCCTCCCTCCTCCTCCTCCCCTTCCTCCTCCTCCTCCTCCTCCTCCTCCTCCTCCTCCTCCTCCTCCTCCTCCTCCTCCTCCTCCTCCTCGTCCTCGTCCTCGTCTTCCTCCTCCTTGTCCTCCTCCTCCTCGTCCTCCTCCTCGTCTTCCTCTGCTCTTTCCTCGGTACAGCCCAGGCCCCCGGAAAACCATTGAAACAAAGTGTGGGCGATTCGTGCGTCGAGAGACGCAGGAGATATGCTTCTAGTCCCCATATCGTTCCTCCTTCGAACTTCTCCCCTGCCTCACCAGCCTGAACAAAACCACTGTTGAACATTTGCCAACGTTTCTCCCGAGCGCCGTAAAAACGTGTTGACGCAATGCAACAAAAAAGGACAACAACTTTAATGATAGGACAAAGGAAGCAGGAGGGAAGGGACAAGGGGGAGACAAAAGGATGGAGCAGGAGAGAGGTTAGGATGAGGGTCAAGAGCAAGCAAACAAGAGCAAGCAAATAAGCGGCACAACCAGACGGCCCGGCCCAGTCCAGCGGGAGGGTCGCTGAATCGCCAAACCTGCATAAGTCGCGAAGACCTCCCGAGCGATAGCGCGATTCCCCAGTTCATCTTGAAGGAACCCAAAGCGAGAGCGTGATTCCTGAATGTCGAAGGCGCGGTATCTGATTGAATTGCGACAAAGGCCCACGGGAAAACGCGATTATTTTATAGCTTGCAAAGAACTCGCGCGCGAGAGCGCAATATGAAAAAATAATTGTGAAAACGTGTCATGCGGAAGCCGTGTTATTTCAAACCGGGGACCAAGGGCCAAATCTGGGGCCGAAGATTTCCCATTGTTCAAAACAGCGTGCGAGCGCCGCGAGGGGCATTCAAATGAAAAACACATTTGTTACTGCGCGTGGGGGAGCAACACTAATATTCATCGCGGGATGGAAACTCAATCACAAACAACAACTATTATGTTGACAAGACGTGAACTTATCAACGCGGTGGGGCGCGCACCGCGCCACCTCACAAAACTCGGTCGAAGCGCGCCAAGCCGCGCGACGAGGATCGCCCCAAGAGCAAGGGCAACATGTGTCTGGAAAGGCCGGAAGCAAGGCCCCTCGGCGCCAGCACGCCGCCCCCCTTCCCGCACTCCCTCTCCGCTCACCTCCGCCGCCCCCGCTTTGCAGCGCGCTTCGGTCTAGCGTGCTTCCACCTCCGTGGCTCCGCGAAAGCGGCCAGGACCGGGCACGCCCCCCTCGCTCTCACTTCTGCCAACTCCAGCCAGGGTCAGGGGCAGCGGCTTGCAGGCCCAGAGGTGCCTGCATATGTCTGCACACCTGTCTCAACGCAACACGAACGCGCCTCGCGCGCCTCACTCCGAAGCCACCTCGCCCCGCTCGGCGCCCACGCCTAGCTTGGATGGGGGCAGCCTGGAGAGGCTGCGTGGCCCACCAGGCCAGGCCCTGGGCTAACTATTCCCCCGCCGCCGTCAGTCTGCGCTGAAAGGACCGGCCAGAAAGGCGCTGGGATCGCCGCCAGGAAGATCATCGCCTCCTCCCCCGCAACCGTCGCAGGGGCCAAGGCCTCCCCCCTTCGCCCCGCCACCCATGGCGGTCCGCGGTGGTTTGCCGGGCTTCGCGGAAGCCTTACCCCGCCTTCCAGAGGGCTCGTAGACATCGACATCTTGCTCCTCAGAAAAGACTCCGCTGGGCACATAGAGAAGCGACGCATGGGCCTCTGCAGCTGCAGTTCGCGACTGGAGGGTCCACGCTTATTCCTCCGAGGACTGAAGGTCGGATTCCACGAACGGGGCCTACTCCTCAACGAGCCTTGCGACTCGCTACTCCTGTCTCTCGTTTTGGCGTTCGTGGCTGCGCCCCGCGATTTTTTCTGCATATCAAGCTACCCTGGCTTCGGCCCTTGGGACGCATGCTCGACGATTCGCCCCCGCCCTCAATACTCGACCTGCATGAACGGGCACCTCGCGCCTCCACCCGCGATTACTCGGGCTCCGACTCGCCACGATGCCCCCTTTCCGCCGCAAGTCGCGCCTCTCGTCCAGACCTACACGCGCCGTCATCTGCCACTTTCTCACGACGATGTTCTTCTGCCTGCTCTGGGCGGCGCGCTGCTCTGGGCCCCTGCGACACAATGACTCGTGCAACACGGCCGCCTGCAGCGCGCGCAATCTGCGGGTCGCAACTTGGCACGACCAGCTTTGAACTGAACTGCCACTAGCCGACGCCGCGGACCACCACCACCCGAGGTGGCGACCATAGTGCCAACCAGCTGAACATTCGTGAAAATAGCAGAAGCTCGTCGCGCATAACTTGCAATCTCAACTTGAAAAGGTTGCTTCCGTAGGGCACCGATCCTATCACTGCCGGCCATGCTCCTTCCCCGTCAGTCGAGTTCCATAGCCAGTATTTCGAGTTTCGGTCAGCCTCCAGCGCGTTCAGCATCGAGCGCGTTCCGGTCAGCCTCGAGCACGTTTCGCCAGGTCCGCGCGTTCAGCCTTGAGCGCGGCGGTTCGGTCTGACTGGCCTCAACCACGATGGCTTCAGTTGCCCTTGCCTCCGACGTGTCGACAATCCTGGCAGCTTGCCCCACCTCCCGCACGCCAAAGGCAGAGGCTTCGCGTTCGAGCAGAATTAGGCGCCGCTCCGCAACCCGTGGGGCCTCGCTTTCCACTTCGGCTTTAGCCTGGACCTTCTCGGCCTCGGCACACGCGCGACTCTCGGCCATCTCAATACTAGCCCTGACTCGGATATCTTCGGCTACGTCGGCCTGCTTTGACTCGAGTCGCTGCCACCGAAGCGAACAATCCTCGCGCTACCGAGAGAAAGCGATCATGGACTCTTTGCTGAGCGGCCTGCCACGCTGCGCTTCGCCATGCGATACAATCGCGTTTATCCCGCGCAACAATCCTCACGCAAGAAAATCACACTGCAACCCTTCCAAGTCCCGGAACATTCCCTACACGCAGGCCTGGCGCAATCTCCCGACCAGCCTGGACATCCGCACTCGGCTGTAAATCGGCACTTGGCAGTGGGTCGCCAGCACTCAGATTTTATAGAAATTATGATGGCGCTCGGGACACCAGATCTGATCGAGGCATCTCGGCGTGGACTTGATCCAGCTGGCTGGGCACCAGTCGCTCCACGTCCTTGTGGATAGAGCCTCATCCGAGCTGAGCAACGAAGTGCTCGACAAATCCCTACTGAACCTTACTTTCCCAACAGGAATCGTCAGGACGGGCACCTCAGCCTCTCTCTCTCTCTCTCTCTTATCTTCTGACCCACTAGATTTTCCCCGATCACCGCGAACCTCTGGTGGGCCACCACCGTTTTTGCGACGTTGGCAATGGCACCGACAAATGTTTTGCAGCGTTCGTGTACCCCTCATTTCCATAAAATGACCTTGCCCTCCTGGTATAATGTGAAGTCGCTCTAGAAGCATTATCCTTCGCGCCTCTGTTGAAGTAGGGTTGACCGACATCAGTAATGATATTGGGGAGCACACTCTCTGGGGCATTAGAGGTAACATCTCGGTGACTCTTCGTTCCCATGGACGACGTTCGAACATGCTGCGAGTACGACTCACCACTTGTTGACGGAAAGGCGCAGCGATAGCCGAAGGCGTGCTGGCCTGCCCCGGCATCATATACTTTTTCGGAGTAACGGGTGATCGTGTTCATCGGTCAAAACGATTTCTTCCCGGTCACCTCCACCAGCACCATGGTGAATTCTACCGCCACAAGAAATTGTTCATTGACAAAAGGATGGACCTCGTCAGTCCCAGCCTGCTCTTCTGATGGAAAATCCATCCTGTATGCTGTAACGAACGCTGCCGGCGCAGGCCACTCGTCTCCCGAACGCGATGTCGCAGCATCGGGCGTCTGCTCTGGGTTCAATTGTACCCTTGTCTGATTATTGCTCGACACTAAAGGCATCGATCAGGAAGGAAACGAACCTGGCGAAGCCTGATCAAAGTCTCGCAAAGACTCTCGTCCGCTTGATGACTCGCTCTCTCTCTCTCTCTCTCTCTCCCTCTCTGAACCGTGAATATCATCCCCGAGAGCGAAGAGTTTGCAATGCACACTGGAGCTTACTCCCCGGAGAGCTGACGTCGCGAGATCTGCCAGGGTCTGATCTGGCGGCTCGCCTCGCGTGCCCGCTGCTTCACCTATCGTGTGACAGCTGCGGTGGTACGTATGACTTCTTTCAACGCAATGGGTATCACCCTGCACTTTTCCGGTTGGTAACCTGTTATTGGTCAGATGATCGCTACAATTTGACATTAGTGATATTTCCCTATCCTCTTCTTCTGGCTCACTGAATCCCGTTGTGGAGACATTTGGGGCGAAATTCCATTTGACGCTGATGGGCGACATGGAGACGCGCGCGAACGCACAGGTGACGGGGACGCATGTGGAATGTGACACTGGAGCCTTCGGTGGAGCTCCTATGGGGCCACGAAGCGTCTGAGGGGTGTGCCGACATTATCGGCGGGGACGCATGCGAACTGTGCCACTGGGACCTTCGGCGGGGCTCCTATGGGGCCACGAGACGTGTAAAAAGTGCGTCGAAAGGGGTGACGGTGACGCATACGAACTGTGCCACTGGGACCTTCGGCGGAGCTCCTATGGGGCCACGAAACGTGTGAGTGGTATGCCGAAATGAGTGGCGGTGACGCATACGAACTGTGCCACTGTGACCTTCGGCGGAGCTTCTATGGGGCCACGAAGCGTACGAGAGATGTGCAGAAATGATTGGCGGGGACGCATGCGAACTGTGCCACTGGGACCTTCGGCGGAGCTTCTTTAGGGCCACGAAGCGTCTGAGGGGTGCGCCGAAATGGGTGACAGGGGACGCATGCGAAATGTGCCACTGAGACCTTCAGCGGAGCTCCTATGGCATTATGGGGCCACGAAACGTGTGAGGGGCATGCCGAAATGAGTGGCGGTGACGCATACGAACTATGCCACTGGGACCTTCGGCGGAGCTTCTATGGGGCCACGAAACGTGTGACGGGTGGTAAGAGGAGGGAGGAGGGGAGGAGGAAGGAAGGAAGGACGGAGGAGAACGCGGGGCGCTGTCTATCCAAAACGAAGACCCAACACCACAGAAGGGTTGGGAAAAACTTCGATTGGACTTGTCAGCCCCGGAAATCAGTGTCCGCGCATGCCCTTCCCTCCCCTGTACCCCCTATCATCTCCCTCGTCCGACTTCATGGGCCAGGGACGGGTCAGGGCTTGCGTCCAGCCCACCAGGGAAACAGACAAGAACGAGCGCCTCCACGCTGGGCCCGTGGCGCAGGTCCACACCACCGAGGAAGGCGACGCGGTACCTCCGTACCCACGTGACAATCCCTGTGCCCCAGCGTCGAGAGCAAGGCCGACCCAAGCTCTCAACATCTCCCCTCCCTCCAGCCCACCGCCGCCACCACCACTAACCACCTCCCCCTCCTCCTCCTCCTCCTCCTCCTCCTCCTCCTCCTCCTCCTCCTCCTCCTCCTCCTCCTCCTCTTCCTCATCAATTCCATCTCCTTATAGATAACTCATTATGTCGGACCCCGAGGCCAGTTTTTGGGGTGGGCCGGGCGTTTCGCCTTAGACTGCCTCACCATTTGTGACTCTGAAGCTTAAAAAGTGACAACAGCTTCACAGATGGAGGGCGGGTGGTTTTCAAAATGTGGCTCTCGCCTTAGCGCCGCGAGCATTCGCTTGAACAAATTGCAAGCGTTTCACGGAATGAGGGCGGGTGATTTCCAAAATGTGGCTCTCGCCGTAGAGCCGCGCACATTCCTTGTTGAAAATTGCAAGAGTTTCGCGGATTGAGGGTGGGTCGTTTTCAACATGTGGCTCTCGCCTTAGCGCCGCGCATATTCGCTTTAAGCGTTTCACGGATTGAGGGCGGGTGGTTTTCAAAACGCGGCTCTCGCCTTAGAGCCGCGCGCATTCGCTTGAAAAAAATGCCAGAGTTTCACGGATTGAGGGCGGTTCCTTTTCAAAATGTGGCTCTCGCCTTAGCGCCGCGCACATTCGTTTTCAAAAGTTGCAAGAGTTTCACGGGTCCCCATGATCAACGTACCAGAAATGGTGTTTTGGAAGGGTTCTGGATTATGCAGGTGCAACAGTTATGCTGATTCGCGGTGCTGAAGCCCCAAAAAGGGCGCTTTGGCATGATTCCGGATCGTCAAGACGCAGCAGTCAGGTTGATACGTAGCGTTGACATCCCGAGAACAATGTTTTGCCATGCTTGAGGATCTTCAAACGGTTGTCTTCCAACGAGGCAGTTCCCTCAATGGAAATGAACCGTTGTGGAGGCCTATGAAGAGGGAGCTTGAAGGGAGGGGTGATTCCAATATCGTTGATGACTCTTGGTTTTACACTGGTCCTCCTCCTCATCATCATCATCCTCTTCCTCGTCGTCCTCCTCCTCGTCCTCTTCCTCATCCTCCTGATCCACACCCGTTTCATACGTATCCTCCTCGGCCACCAACTCATCCGCAAACTTCTCCGCATCCTGTTCTTCCTCCTCCTTCCACCATCCACGATCTCTGCTTCATTGCATGCACCCGTCCTCCCCCCCATGCGAGAATACCATCTGAGCCTACTGCCTACGCTCCTCACTGAGCCTGTTCCGAGCGAGCACCTACACTGGTGCAAGTAGTGCTTCGGGCACCCCTCTTTGCTGCGGAGTCTACAGCCTTTCGTGCATTCTGGACAGAAGCGCCCCCTCGGTTCAAACACGTTTCCTTGGCAGCGCATGTCAACGAAGCAATGGCGACAAACATGTGCTCAGGCACCTGCGTGCACATACAGTCGACCCGAATCATAAGGATGCGCAGTAAGGATGCAAGGGCCTTGGAGGGCCATGTCGACAGTGTGCGAGCGGGGCGCGGCCAGCGAAAGCGGCCAAGGATGGGCCGAGGAGGTAAGGATGCAAGGGTAACCTTGGGAAGGTTGCCCATCCTTACCGTGCGGGTTGACTGTCCCGCCTCAGGCTTCCCTGTGCAAGCTCTTCGGCACCGCCTGCACCCCGGGCTTCGCCCACTCCGGCCGCCTGAGGCCTCGCCCGCCTGTGCCCTGTCTCCCTAATGAAAGCTGTGCGTAGCCCGCCTAGCTTTTAGCGGAAGAGGTTCGCTCTCGCCCCGCCGACCCAAAAATGTCCCGCCTCGGGAACCATACCTCCTTCTGCGCCGGTATGAGCTATCCGCCCCTTCCTCCGTGACTCTCAGTCGCCCTCCTTTTCCCGCCCTCCGCCCTCCGCCCTCCTGCCGCCCTCCGGATCCCTCCCTCTCCGCCCGCGCTCCTCTCGGAGCTCCCCAGCGGCACCTGCAGAGCAGAGCCCCCTCCCCGCCCGCCACTGGTAGCGCCCCGCCTCGCCCGAGAACGCGTTGGCGGGCGCGATCATGGTGATGGGAGCCGCACCGCCTGGTGGCGGCACGAAGACCGACCACGCACTGGCAAGTGTTCCAGCAGATGAGGGCCCATGGGTGTGAGGGGCGTCCCGGGTCCTCGAAAGCGTGTGGGCTGCAGAACGAGCGAGCTCTAAGGAAGCCTTGCCCCACCTACGTCCAGACCTTGCGATGCGCCTGCTCCCCTACGGTCGGCCCGTATCAGAAGGATGCGCGGTAAGGATGCAAGGGCCCTGGACGCCCATTTCGAAGCTTTTCGAGCGAGTGCGGCCAGCAAAAGCGGCCAAGGACGGACCGAGGAGGCAAGGACGCAAGGGTACCCTTCGGAAGGTTGCCCATCCTTGACATGCGGAATGACTGTATCCCGGAAAGGCTTTCGTCAAGTGGGCCTCGACCATTTCGTAGATGGCTTACGTTAGGAGCTGGCGACAAGCAGCCATACCATGCGCTTATGCGGCGAGGTCCACCGGTTCGTCCGATTGTCCAGCGTCCCTGCTGGCATGCCTATCTCCACGCACCATCGTGGGCTCGGGCCCGAATGCGAGCCTTCAGTTGTCAGGGGGGCAGGGGGGGTCACCGTATTGCGCTTCTCCAGCATTTCCAGAAAATCCTCCTGACCAGCATTTCGAGCCGAGCCAGGTTGCGAGGACTTGGACCTCATCACTGGAACAAGAAGCTGGCCTTGCCGCTGGGGGGCGAAATCTCCGAATGTCTCTCGGACGATCCGGACGTGGGATCTCCCAGAAGCGTTAGGAAATCCAGCCGTGTTGGAGTGTACATCCAGAATCCTCCATCGTTGCTGACAGGCTGTGCGGTGACTAGGGCACATCATGCCACGGCCCCAAAATACACAAGAGCTGACAACGTCGCAAAAACTTGCCACACGAGGGCCCGCGAGGGCCCCGTGACTTGGCACCAGGGAGCCCTTCTGCTGAACAGACCAACGAACAAGAATGCTTCAAACACAGCCGAGAAGGATGCCAGCCGCCGGGCATTGCTTGGCAGAGTCCGGCTGGAACCACAAGGAGAGCGCCCCAGCCTAGGCGAGGGCACGGGGAGGCTCGAGTGTTTGACCCGGGGGTGGGACGCCGCCGCGGACCAGACCTGCTCCGGCGTTGCTGTGCCGTGCCCGTTCCCAGACTCTCTCTCTCTCTCTCTCAATCTCTCTCTCCATCTCTCTTCCCTGGGGGGTGCATGCTGTCTACTGCAACACGTCCGCTCGAGCCAAGGCTCTCCACAAGCCCGGTTATTGATGTGATATATAATTATATACATACCTCTATGCATATACCGGAGATGCCTCCGACAGATGGTGATTGAATTGGACCCAGCAGCATCCCACTGCTCCACGAGGTTCGGCTTGTCCCGTTCAGCACGTCGAGTTCACCATAATCCAACGAGCTCTCTGGGCTGAGGTGGTCTACGTAGGTCGTTTCCTCTTCAAACCCCCTTCTTCCCCTTCGGGGAAGGGTTCACCACTGCTCCTCATGAATCAGGGGCCCTCCACCGCTCGGCCGGCGACCGACCAGCCACGATACCATTCCCAGCATCACTAGTGTCAAGACAGAACAGCAGTTACGCTAGTTCGAAATCTGAAGCATGTCCCGGTGCCTCGCGGTGGCTTCGCATTGATGATTTGGCAGGAACTGCGGGGCAGATATCAGATTGCCTGCTGCGCGCAGGCCCACCATCCCTGTCGAAAACCCATGCGAAGTGATTGCGGGTGCGCACACAATACGTAATGCGGGTAAACCCACCGTTACTTTGCGTTGGCAATGGTCGACATATTGCCCGATATGTGCTGTGATGTGCGCTGGTGCACTCTGCGCGCGACGCGCACGTGGCGCACCTGCCGCGGTTAGAGCACGTGGCATAATGGGCGCATGTGGAGCACGTGGCGCATCTATCGCACCTTGCGCGCCATGCACACTTGGGCCAAAAAGTCCAAGATGGCCTCCAAAATGGCACAAGACGGCTCAGGATGGCCCAATAGAACCGCCAGCATGCCGCCAAGAGGCTCCAAGACCCTCCCAACACGAGCCTCCCAAGGATACCCCTGGAGGCCGACTGCCGCCCAACACCCTAGGAAAATCAGTGAGGGTTACCCTCTCGCCGTGTCGATTCCGATATGCGTGCGAGGCCTCGAGGCGGCTCCAAGATGGCACAACAGAGCCCCGAGAGGAGCCCAAGACGGTCCCAACGCGGCCCCAGGACCGCCCCAAGAGCGCCCCAAGACGGGCGACTCCTCGGGCTTCGGAGGGCGACACTGTCGGGGACCCACCCCGCCCTCGCACACAAACAACATCACTGAACCACAGGTTTGTGTTTCAAAATGGTGGCATCTCCGAGGCACCCTTGGGAGGCCGCTGGGCAAACAGTGCTCCAAGATGGCTCCAGACAGCACAAGATGACCTCCAGGATGACACAAGGCAGCTCAGAATCCCAGAACGCCTCCACAAAGCAGCAAGACCCTCCTAAGACGACCTCAAGTGGCCACAGAGTCTCCCAAGGACACCCACGAGAGGCTAAAACTCATCCACATCCTTTCGCCAAGAGAGGTCTAAGAGTCCCCCAAGAGGGACACAAGATTGCATGTGTCAGACTCATGAGTAAGACTCCCCCAAATCGTTGATCGATGTCCTCCCAAGATGGCCCCAAGAGGGCCTCCAGAGAGCCTCAAGCGGGCCTCCAAGGCCCCAAACCGATCCCCGAGAGGGCTCCAAGATGGCTCCAAAAGGCCTCCTGGAGGCTCCCGGAGCAAAAGATCCAAAAAGGTATGCATTGCTGTCGTCGTCGTCCGCGACGCCGTTTTCCTTCCATTCTACTTATCCTTCCCCTCCTCCCTCCACATCATCATCATCATCATCATCATCATCATCATCATCATCATAATCATCATCATCATCATCATCATCATCATCATCATCATCATCATCATCATCATCATCATCGTCATCATCATCATCATCATCATCATCATCATCATCATCATCATCATCATCATCATCATCATGCTCCACTTCCTACTCCTCCTCCTCCTCCTCCTCTTCCTCCTCTTTCTCCAACTCCTTTTCCTTCTCCTAATCATCCACCTCCACCTCATCCTACTCCTACTCCTTCTCCTCCTCATCACTATCATCGTCACTATCCTCCTCATCATCATCATCATCCTCATCCTCATCATCATCATCATCATCATCATCACCATCATCATCATCATCATCATCATCATCATCATCATCATCATCATCATCATCATCATCGTCATCGTCAGCATAATCAGCAGCAGCAGCATCATCAGCATCATCAGCATCTGCATATTAAGATTCACTCCTCCCCTATTGATCCCACTCCATTTCGTCATCCCGCCTCCTCCTCGGGCGACAGGGCCGCGAAGGCACGCGCGGTTCGCTGCTGGATCCGCCCATGCTGATCCGAAAGCTGGGCCTGACGGCTGCCCCCCTCTCTTTTAGATGCTCATTCTGGGGACCTTCCTGCAGCCACTCGCTCCACTCGTGCGTCGAAGCTGCGTCGAACCTGAGTCGAACATGAGTCGAACCTGAGTCGAATCTGAGTCGAACCCGAGTCCAACTTGAGTCGAACTTGAGTCGAACCTGCGTCGAACAGATCCATTAGGTGGCCCCCAGGAAGGTCCCCAAAACGAGCATCGAACTCTCTTTGTTGCACCGGAGGCTCCTGCGCTGCCCTGAGCAACGCAACTCGCCTGACCACCACTCCTGGATGAGCTGGTGGGGACTCGCCATCGCTCGGACGTCCATTTCCCGTGCATTGTTCGGTGTCGCGCGTGTTTTTTTTGCTCGATGGTCCAGGATGGTCCTGGATGGTCCTCGCCGAGAAAAAAATGCACAAGTCCGAGCGATGCCAGGGGGACGCGCGAAGCTCCTAAGGTATGGCGGGCCCCCTGCGGGCCCTGGGGCGAGCTCGCGGGCCGCACCAGCTTTGAGTTATGGAGCCCATCCGGGCCATGCGCCTCGGACAGCTTGCAAATGAAGATGGCCGCTGATGGCCCAACACGGCTCTGTGATGGCCCAAAATGCCCCCAGATGACCTTCAAGATGGGATGATCTTGCCGAAGATGGCTCAAGATAGTTGCACGGATGCTTACACTGCTTCCATGAGGCCCCAATATCGCCATCCCAAGCCAGCTCCGAGTAGCCACGGACTCTCCCCAAGGGGGGTCCCCGCGAGGCCAGAATCTTCAAGGCCTCAGGAACTCCAAAACTATACGCAGAGTCCAGCATCACCTGTTTAGCCAAAGTTGCTCCTCGGAGTGTTCGCGCGCCCTCCTGCTCCTGATCCGCCTGCGCATTCGTCGTCGTCGTAGAGGTTTTCGTCGTCGTCGTCCACCTCCCTCCGCATCCACGTCATTATTCTTCTCGCCCTCGCTCGCCCTCGCCCCTTCCAGTACACATCCTCCTCATCATCCCCCTCCTCTCTTCCTCCCCCTCCTCTCTTCCTTCTCCTCCTCCTCCTGCTGCTACTACTACCACTACCACTACTACTACTACTACTACTACTACTACTACTACTACTACTACTACTGCTACTGCTACTGCTACTACTACTCGTACCACTACTACCAGTACTACTACTACTACTACTACTACTACTACTACTACTACTACTACTACTACTACTACTACTACTACTACTACTACTACTACTACTACTACTACTACTACTACTACTACTACTACTACTACTACTACTACTACTACTACTACTACTACTACTACTACTACTACTACTACTACTACTACTACTACTACTACTACTACTACTACTACTACTACTACTACTACTACTACTACTACTACTACTACTACTACTGCTACTTACTACTACTATACCACTACTAACTACTGCTGTTGCTGCTACTACTCCTGCTAATGGTACTACTGCTACTACTACTACTACTAATACTACTACTACTACTACTACTACTTACTGCTACAACTACTACTACTACTACTACTACTACTACTACTACTAATA